CGTTCTTCAAAATGAACGGAATTGAAATTGAAAATCCACAAAATTTGGTAAGAATAGCATTACTCCAAAAATAGATCAATTGCATCGGCCGGGAATCGAACCCGAGTCACTCAATTGGGAAACGAGCATTCTACCATTGAACTACCGATGCGACGTGGGTCTCTCATTAAACAAGATTCATTTAGTTGTCAAGCAAAGATATGAATGAATGTACAAAGTTTCAATTACTTCAGAATGAAAGGAATTGAAAAAAAAATCCACACATTTGGTAACAGTAGCGCTGCCAAAAATTTGATTGATGACTTAAGCTGGGAATCGAACCCAGGTCAAATGATCAGAAATCTAGCATTGTACCATTGAACCATAAGGCCGTATTATCGAAGATTAATTTTTGGCTTATGCAAAGATATGAATGAATAAACAAAGATTCAAGTTCTTCATTATGAATGGAATTGAAATTGAAAATCCACAAAATTTGGTTACAGTAACACTACCCCCAAAATGGATTATATGCATCGACCGGGAATCGAACCCGGGTCACTCGATTGGGAAACGAGCATTCTACCATTGAACCACCGATGCGCTGTAAGGCTCTCATTAAACAAGAGTAATATAGTTACTAAGCAAAGATATCAATGAATATACAAAGATCCACGTTTTTCAAAATGAATGGAGTTGAAATCAATACCGCATAAAATTTGGAAACAACAGCGTTACTACTAAAAGGGGTAAAAGTTTCTGTCGTCCGGGTTTCAAATCCGAGTCACTTGAACATAAAACGGGTATTCTACCATTGAACCAAAGTTTCGCAGTAAGACTCCATGATCCAAGATTAATTTATTGATTTAGCAAAGATATAAGTGATTGTACAAAGTTTCAAGTTCATATGAATGAATTGAATTGAAAAAAAATCCACAAATTTGGTAATAGACGGTAGCACTACCTCAAAAATTGATTGGTTGCTTCGGCCAGAAATGGAACGCGGGACACTCGATCGAGAAACGAGCATTCTATCATTGAACCACCAACGCGCTGTAAGACTCTCATTAAACAAGAGTAATATAGTTACTAAGCAAAGATATCAATGAATATACAAAGATCCACGTTTTTCAAAATGAATGGAAATGAAATCAATACCGCATAAAATTTGGAAACAACAGCGTTACTACTAAAAGGGGTAAAAGTTTCTGTCGTCCGGGTTTCAAATCCGAGTCACTTGATCATAACACGGGCATTGTACCATTGAACCAAAGTTTCGCAGTAAGGCTACATGATCCAAGCTTAATTTATTGCTTTAGCAAAGATATAAATAAATGTACAAATTATCAATTTCATCTGAATGAATTGAAAAAAAATCCACAAATTTGGAAATAGACGGTAGCACTACCACAAAAATTGGTTGGTAGCTTCGGCCAGGAATGGAACCCGGGACTCTCTATTGAGAAACGAGCATTCTACCATTGAACAACCAATGCAACGAAAAGACTTCATTTACAAGGAATATCAATGTGTTAAAAAGTTTAACGTTCTTCAAAATGAACGGAATTGAAATTGAAAATCTACAAAATTTGGTAAGAAAAGCATTACTCCAAAAATAGATCAATTGCATCGGCCGGGAATCGAACCCGAGTCACTCAATTGGGAAACGAGCATTCTACCATTGAACTACCGATGCGACGTGGGTCTCTCATTAAACAAGATTCATTTAGTTGTCAAGCAAAGATATGAATGAATGTACAAAGTTTCAATTACTTCAGAATGAAAGGAATTGAAAAAAAATCCACACATTTGGTAACAGTAGCGCTTCCAAAAAATTGATTGATGACTTAAGCTGGGAATCGAAACCAGGTCAAATGATCAGAAAACTAGCTTTGTACCATTGAACCATAAGGCCGTATTATCGAAGATTAATTTTTTGCTTATGCAAAGATATGAATGAATAAACAAAGATTCAAGTTCTTCATTATGAATGGAATTGAAATTGAAAATCCACAAAATTTGGTTACAGTAACACTACCCCCAAAATGGATTATATGCATCGACCGGGAATCGAACCCGGGTCACTCGATTGGGAAACGAGCATTCTACCATTGAACCACCGATGCGCTGTAAGGCTCTCATTAAACAAGAGTAATATAGTTACTAAGCAAAGATATCAATGAATATACAAAGATCCACGTTTTTCAAAATGAATGGAGTTGAAATCGATACCGCATAAAATTTGGAAACAACAGCGTTACTACTAAAAGGGGTAAAAGTTTCTGTCGTCCGGGTTTCAAATCCGAGTCACTTGAACATAAAACGGGCATTCTACCATTGAACCAAAGTTTCGCAGTAAGACTCCATGATCCAAGATTAATTTATTGATTTAGCAAAGATATAAGTGATTGTACAAAGTTTCAAGTTCATATGAATGAATTGAATTGAAAAAAAATCCACAAATTTGGTAATAGACGGTAGCACTACCACAAAAATTGATTGGTAGCTTCGGCCAGGAATGGAACCCGGGACCCTCGATTGAGAAACGAGCATTCTACCATTGAACCACCAACGCGTTGTAAGACTCTCATTAAACAAGAGTAATATAGTTACTAAGCAAAGATATCAATGAATATACAAAGATCCACGTTTTTCAAAATGAATGGAGTTGAAATCAATACCGCATAAAATTTGGAAACAACAGCGTTACTACTAAAAGGGGTAAAAGTTTCTGTCGTCCGGGTTTCAAATCCGAGTCACTTGATCATAAAACGGGCATTGTACCATTGAACCAAAGTTTCGCAGTAAGGCTACATGATCCAAGCTTAATTTATTGCTTTAGCAAAGATATAAATAAATGTACAAATTTTCAATTTCATCTGAATGAATTGAAAAAAAATCCACAAATTTGGTAATAGACGGTAGCACTACCACAAAAATTGATTGGTAGCTTCGGCCAGGAATGGAACCCGGGACTCTCTATTCTACCATTGAACAACCAATGTAACCCAATTGAGAAAATTTAGCATTCATTCTACCATTGAACAACCAATGCAACGAAAAGACTTCATTTTTGCATATCAATGAGTTAAATGAAAGTTTTACGTTCTTCAAAATGAACGGAATTGAAATTGAAAAATCCACAAAATTTTTTCTAACCATTGATAATGCAACAAGAAATTACTTTAACGTTCTTCAAAATGAAAATCCACAAAATTTGGTAAGAATTGCATCGATGGGAATCGAAATCGAACCGAGTCACTCAATTGGGAAACGAGCATTCTACCATTGAACTACCGATGCGACTGGGTCTCTCATTAAACAAGATTCATTTAGTTGTCAAGCAAAGATATGAATGAATGTACAAAGTTTCAATTACTTCAGAATGAATGAATTGAAAAAAAAATCCACAAATTTGGTAACAACAGCGCTGCCAAAAAATTGATTGATGACTTAAGCTGGGAATCGAACCCAGGTCAAATGATCAGAAAACTAGCATTGTACCATTGAACCATAAAGGCCGTATTATCGAAGATTAATTTTTGCTTATGCAAAGATATGAATGAATAAACAAAGATTCAAGTTCTTCATTATGAATGGAATTGAAATTGAAAATCCACAAAATTTGGTTACAGTAACACTACCCCCAAAATGGATTATATGCATCGACCGGGAATCGAACCCGGGTCACTCGATTGGGAAACGAGCATTCTACCATTGAACCACCGATGCGCTGTAAGGCTCTCATTAAACAAGAGTAATATAGTTACTAAGCAAAGATATCAATGAATATACAAAGATCCACGTTTTTCAAAATGAATGGAGTTGAAATCGATACCGCATAAAATTTGGAAACAACAGCGTTACTACTAAAAGGGGTAAAAGTTTCTGTCGTCCGGTTTCAAATCCGAGTCACTTGAACATAAAACGGGCATTCTACCATTGAACCAAAGTTTCGCAGTAAGACTCCATGATCCAAGATTAATTTATTGATTTAGCAAAGATATAAGTGATTGTACAAAGTTTCAAGTTCATATGAATGAATTGAATTGAAAAAAAATCCACAAATTTGGTAATAGACGGTAGCACTACCACAAAAATTGATTGGTAGCTTCGGCCAGGAATGGAACCCGGGACTCTCTATTGAGAAACGAGCATTCTACCATTGAACAACCAATGCAACGAAAAGACTTCATTTACAAGGAATATCAATGAGTTAAAAAGTTTAACGTTCTTCAAAATGAACGGAATTGAAATTGAAAATCTACAAAATTTGGTAAGAAAAGCATTACTCCAAAAATAGATCAATTGCATCGGCCGGGAATCGAACCCGAGTCACTCAATTGGGAAACGAGCATTCTACCATTGAACTACCGATGCGACGTGGGTCTCTCATTAAACAAGATTCATTTAGTTGTCAAGCAAAGATATGAATGAATGTACAAAGTTTCAATTACTTCAGAATGAAAGGAATTGAAAAAAAAATCCACACATTTGGTAACAGTAGCGCTGCCAAAAAATTGATTGATGACTTAAGCTGGGAATCGAACCCAGGTCAAATGATCAGAAAACTAGCATTGTACCATTGAACCATAAGGCCGTATTATCGAAGATTAATTTTTTGCTTATGCAAAGATATGAATGAATGTACAAAGATTCAAGTTCTTCATTATGAATGGAATTGAAATTGAAAATCCACAAAATTTGGTTACAGTAACACTACCCCCAAAATGGATTATATGCATCGACCGGGAATCGAGCCCGGGACACTCGATTGGGAAACGAGCATTCTACCATTGAACCACCGATGCGCTGTAAGGTTCTCATTAAAAAAGAGTAATATAGTTACTAAGCAAAGATATCAATGAATATACAAAGATCCACGTTTTTCAAAATGAATAGAGTTGAAATCGATACCGCATAAAATTTGGAAACAACAGCGTTACTAATAAAAGGGGTAAAAGTTTCTGTCGTCCGGGTTTCAAATCCGAGTCACTTGAACATAAAACGGGCATTCTACCATTGAACCAAAGTTTCGCAGTAAGGCTACATGATCCAAGCTTAATTTATTGCTTTAGCAAAGATATAAATAAATGTACAAATTTTCAATTTCATCTGAATGAATTGAAAAAAAATCCACAAATTTGGAAATAGACGGTAGCACTACCACAAAAATTGGTTGGTAGCTTCGGCCAGGAATGGAACCCGGGACTCTCTATTGAGAAACGAGCATTCTACCATTGAACAACCAATGCAACGAAAAGACTTCATTTACAAGGAATATCAATGAGTTAAAAAGTTTAACGTTCTTCAAAATGAACGGAATTGAAATTGAAAATCTACAAAATTTGGTAAGAAAAGCATTACTCCAAAAATAGATCAATTGCATCGGCCGGGAATCGAACCCGAGTCACTCAATTGGGAAACGAGCATTCTACCATTGAACTACCGATGCGACGTGGGTCTCTCATTAAACAAGATTCTTTTAGTTGTCAAGCAAAGATATGAATGAATGTACAAAGTTTCAATTACTTCAGAATGAAAGGAATTGAAAAAAAAAAAAAAATCACACATTTGGTAACAGTAGCGCTGCCAAAAAAATTGATTGATGACTTAAGCTGGGAATCGAACCCAGGTCAAATGATCAGAAAACTAGCATTGTACCATTGAACCACCGATGGGCCATAAGGCCGTATTATCGAAGATTAATTTTTTGCTTATGCAAAGATATGAATGAATGTACAAAGATTCAAGTTCTTCATTATGAATGGAATTGAAATTGAAAATCCACAAAATTTGGTTACAGTAACACTACCCCCAAAATGGATTATATGCATCGACCGGGAATCGAACCCGGGTCACTCGATTGGGAAACGAGCATTCTACCATTGAACCACCGATGCGCTGTAAGGCTCTCATTAAACAAGAGTAATATAGTTACTAAGCAAAGATATCAATGAATATACAAAGATCCACGTTTTTCAAAATGAATGGAGTTGAAATCGATACCGCATAAAATTTGGAAACAACAGCGTTACTACTAAAAGGGGTAAAAGTTTCTGTCGTCCGGGTTTCAAATCCGAGTCACTTGAACATAAAACGGGCATTCTACCATTGAACCAAAGTTTCGCAGTAAGACTCCATGATCCAAGATTAATTTATTGATTTAGCAAAGATATAAATAAATGTACAAAGTTTCAAGTTCATCTGAATGAATTGAAAAAAAATCCACAAATTTGGTAATAGGCGGTAGCACTACCACAAAAATTGATTGGTAGCTTCGGCCAGGAATGGAACCCGGGACACTCGATTGAGAAACGAGCATTCTACCATTGAACCACCAACGCGTTGTAAGACTCTCATTAAACAAGAGTAATATAGTTACTAAGCAAAGATATCAATGAATATACAAAGATCCACGTTTTTCAAAATGAATGGAGTTGAAATCAAAAATCCATAAAATTTGGAAACAACAGCGTTACTACTAAAAGGGGTAAAAGTTTCTGTCGTCCGGTTTCAAATCCGAGTCACTCAATCATAAACGGGCAGCATTCTACCATTGAACCACCGATTTCGCGACGTAAGGCTACTCTCATTAAACAAGATTCATTTATTGTTGTCAAGCAAAGATATGAATGAATGTACAAATTTTCAATTACATCTGAATGAATTGAAAAAAAAAATCCACAAATTTGGTAACAGTAGCGCTAGCACAAAAAAATTGATTGATGAGCTTAAAATGGAACCCGGTTTTATTCTACCATTAACAAAGCAAATTAATTTTTTGCTTTGCAAAGATATGAATGAACAAAAGATTTAACGTTCTTCAAATGAATGGAATTGAAATTGAAAATCAATTTTTACAGTTAACATTTACAAAATATTATATGCATCAAATCGAACCAACGATTCAATTTAATGATACAAAATTCTAATTGAACAAGGTCTTTTACAAATTTGAAAAAATGAAAAAAGATTCAAAATTAAAATTTACAAAATTTAAAATTACCAAAAAATTTTTGAAAAAAATTTTTCGAAATTGAACAGTAAAAGATTTCATCGAAATTTGAAAATTAAATGATTTTTAAATTCTACCATTGAACCAAAGTTTCGAAATCGAAAAATGAAACCAAGATTTAATTTATTGAAAAACTTTAGCAAAATATAATGAATAACAAATTTTCAAAAAGTTCAAAATGAATGAATTGAAATCAAAAAAAATCATAAAATTTGGTTACAGTAACACTAAAAAATTGATTATATGCATCGACCGGGAATCGAACCCGGGTCACTCATTGAAAACGAGCATTCTACCATTGAACCACCGATGCGCTGTAAGGCTCTCATTAAACAAGATTCATTTAGTTGCAAGCAAAGATATCAATGAATATACAAAGATTTTCAATTTTCAAAATGAATGGAATTGAAATCAAAAATCCATAAAATTTGGAAACAACAAGTAGCGTTACTACTAAAAAATTGAAATTTTTTGTCGTCCGGGTTTCAAATCGAGTCACTTGAATTTGAAAACGAGCATTCTACCATTGAACCAAAAAAATTTCGCAGTAAGACTCCATATCCAAGATTAATTTATTGTTTAGCAAAGATATAAATGAATGCAAAATATTTTCATTGAATGAATTGAATTGAAAAAAAAAACCACAAATTTGCAATAGACGGTAGCAAAAATTCTAAAAATTGATTGGTAGCTTCGGCCAAATGGAATCGTACCTCACAAAGAATTTTTTTTAGCACACGTTCTTCAACAATGAACCGGAATTGAAAAAAAATCTTTGGTAATAGTAACACTACCAGCAAAATCAAATGTCGGCCGGGAATCGAACCCGGGTTTTTGGAAAAGGCCATTGAACCACCGATGCGCTTTATATGCTCTTTTAAACAAGAGTAATATTTAGTTACTGATTTGAAAAGATATCAATGAATATACAAAGATCCACGTTTTTCAAAATGAATGGAAATTGAAATACCGCATAAAATTTGGAAACAACAGCGTTACTACTAAAAATTAAAAGTTTCTGTCGTCCGGGTTTCAAATCCGAGTCAAATTGAACATAAAACGGGCATTGTACCATTGAACCAAAGTTTCGCAGTAAGGCTACATGATCCAAGCTTAATTTATTGCTTTAGCAAAGATATAAATAAATGTACAAATTTTCAATTTCATCTGAATGAATTGAAAAAAAAAAATCACAAATTTGGTAATAGACGGTAGCACTACCACAAAAATTGATTGGTAGCTTCGGCCAGGAATGGAACCCGGGACTCTCTATTGAGAAACGAGCATTCTACCATTGAACAACCAATGCAACGAAAAGACTTCATTTACAAGGAATATCAATGAGTTAAAAAGTTTAACGTTCTTCAAAATGAACGGAATTGAAATCGAAAATCCACAAAATTTAGTAAGAATAGCATTACTCCAAAAATAGATCAATTGCATCGGCCGGGAATCGAACCCGAGTCACTCAATTGGGAAACGAGCATTCTACCATTGAACTACCGATGCGACGTGGGTCTCTCATTAAACAAGATTCATTTAGTTGTCAAGCAAAGATATGAATGAATGTACAAAGTTTCAATTACTTCAGAATGAAAGGAATTGAAAAAAAAAATCCACACATTTGGTAACAGTAGCGCTGCCAAAAAATTGATTGATGACTTAAGCTGGGAATCGAACCCAGGTCAAATGATCAGAAAACTAGCATTGTACCATTGAACCACCGATGGGCCATAAGGCCGTATTATCGAAGATTAATTTTTTGCTTATGCAAAGATATGAATGAATGTACAAAGATTCAAGTTCTTCATTATGAATGGAATTGAAATTGAAAATCCACAAAATTTGGTTACAGTAACACTACCCCAAAATGGATTATATGCATCGACCGGGAATCGAACCCGGGTCACTCGATTGGGAAACGAGCATTCTACCATTGAACCACCGATGCGCTGTAAGGTTCTCATTAAAAAAGAGTAATATAGTTACTAAGCAAAGATATCAATGAATATACAAAGATCCACGTTTTTCAAAATGAATAGAGTTGAAATCGATACCGCATAAAATTTTGGAAACAACAGCACTACTAAAAAATTGGGTAAAAGTTTCTGTCGTCCGGGTTTCAAATAAAAAACGGGCATTCTAAATTGAACCAAAGTTTCTAAGTCGATTAATTTATTTTTAGCAAATATAATGAATGTACAAAGTTTCAAGTTCATTCATTGAATGTCAATTGAAAAAAAAATCCACAAATTTGGTAATAGACGGTAGCACTACATTCTCGGCCAGGAATGGAACCCGGGACATTGAAAACGAGCATTCTACCATTGAACCACCAAAAACGTGTCTCTCAAGACTCATTAAACAAGATTAATTTAACGTTGTTACAAGCAAAGATATCAATGAATGTACAAAGTTTCAATTTTTCAAAATGAATGAATTGAAAAAAAAATCCACAAATTTGGTAACAACAGCGCTACCACAAAAATTGATTGATGTTTCTGTCGTCCAAAATCGGAACCCGTCAAATTGATCAGAAAACGAGCATTGTACCATTGAACCAAATGTTTCAACAAAGGCTCCATTATCGAAGATTAATTTTTGCTTTAGCAAAGATATATAATGATTGTACAAAGATTTCAAGTTCTTCATTATGAATGGAATTGAAATTGAAAAAAATCCACAAAATTTGGTAATAGACGGTAAAACTACCATTAAAATCGATTGGTTATCTTCGGCCGGAATGGAACCCCGGACACTCTCGATTGAAAACGAGCATTCTACCATTGAACCACCGATGCGCTGTAAGGCTCTCATTAAACAAGAGTAATATAGTTACTAAGCAAAGATATCAATGAATATACAAAGATCCACGTTTTCAAAATGAATGGAGTTGAAATCAATACCGCATAAAATTTGGAAACAACAGCGTTACTACTAAAAGGGGTAAAAGTTTCTGTCGTCGGTTTCAAATCCGAGTCACTTGATCATAAAACGGGCATTCTACCATTGAACCAAAGTTTCGCAGTAAGGCTACATGATCCAAGATTAATTTATTGCTTTAGCAAAGATATAAATAAATGTACAAATTTTCAATTTCATCTGAATGAATTGAAAAAAAAATCCACAAATTTGGTAATAGACGGTAGCACTACCACAAAAATTGATTGGTAGCTTCGGCCAAGGAATGGAACCCGGGACTCTCTATTGAGAAACGAGCATTCTACCATTGAACAACCAATGCAACGAAAAGACTTCATTTACAAGGAATATCAATGAGTTAAAAAGTTTAACGTTCTTCAAAATGAACGGAATTGAAATCGAAAATCCACAAAATTTGGTAAGAATAGCATTACTCCAAAAAAAGATCAATTGCATCGGCCGGGAATCGAACCCGAGTCACTCAATTGGGAAACGAGCATTCTACCATTGAACTACCGATGCGACGTGGGTCTCTCATTAAACAAGATTCATTTAGTTGTCAAGCAAAGATATGAATGAATGTACAAAGTTTCAATTACTTCAGAATGAAAGGAATTGAAAAAAAAAAATCCACACATTTGGTAACAGTAGCGCTGCCAAAAAAATTGATTGATGACTTAAGCTGGGAATCGAACCCAGGTCAAATGATCAGAAAACTAGCATTGTACCATTGAACCACCGATGGGCCATAAGGCCATATTATCGAAGATTAATTTTTTGCTTATGCAAAGATATGAATGAATGTACAAAGATTCAAGTTCTTCATTATGAATGGAATTGAAATTGAAAATCCACAAAATTTGGTTACAGTAACACTACCCCCAAAATGGATTATATGCATCGACCGGGAATCGAACCCGGGTCACTCGATTGGGAAACGAGCATTCTACCATTGAACCACCGATGCGCTGTAAGGCTCTCATTAAACAAGAGTAATATAGTTACTAAGCAAAGATATCAATGAATATACAAAGATCCACGTTTTTCAAAATGAATGGAAATGAAATCAATACCGCATAAAATTTGGAAACAACAGCGTTACTACTAAAAGGGGTAAAAGTTTCTGTCGTCCGGGTTTCAAATCCGAGTCACTTGAACATAAAACGGGTATTCTACCATTGAACCAAAGTTTCGCAGTAAGACTCCATGATCCAAGATTAATTTATTGATTTAGCAAAGATATAAGTGATTGTACAAAGTTTCAAGTTCATATGAATGAATTGAATTGAAAAAAAATCCACAAATTTGGTAATAGACGGTAGCACTACCACAAAAATTGATTGGTAGCTTCGGCCAGGAATGGAACCCGGGACTCTCTATTGAGAAACGAGCATTCTACCATTGAACAACCAATGCAACGAAAAGACTTCATTTACAAGGAATATCAATGAGTTAAAAAGTTTAACGTTCTTCAAAATGAACGGAATTGAAATTGAAAATCTACAAAATTTGGTAAGAAAAGCATTACTCCAAAAATAGATCAATTGCATCGGCCGGGAATCGAACCCGAGTCACTCAATTGGGAAACGAGCATTCTACCATTGAACTACCGATGCGACGTGGGTCTCTCATTAAACAAGATTCATTTAGTTGTCAAGCAAAGATATGAATGAATGTACAAAGTTTCAATTACTTCAGAATGAAAGGAATTGAAAAAAAATCCACACATTTGGTAACAGTAGCGCTGCCAAAAAATTGATTGATGACTTAAGCTGGGAATCGAACCCAGGTCAAATGATCAGAAAACTAGCATTGTACCATTGAACCACCGATGGGCCATAAGGCCGTATTATCGAAGATTAATTTTTTGCTTATGCAAAGATATGAATGAATGTACAAAGATTCAAGTTCTTCATTATGAATGGAATTGAAATTGAAAATCCACAAAATTTGGTTACAGTAACACTACCCCCAAAATGGATTATATGCATCGACCGGGAATCGAACCCGGGTCACTCGATTGGGAAACGAGCATTCTACCATTGAACCACCGATGCGCTGTAAGGCTCTCATTAAACAAGAGTAATATAGTTACTAGCAAAGATATCAATGAATATACAAAGATCCACGTTTTTCAAAATGAATGGAGTTGAAATCGATACCGCATAAAATTTGGAAACAACAGCGTTACTACTAAAAGGGGTAAAAGTTTCTGTCGTCCGGGTTTCAAATCCGAGTCACTTGAACATAAAACGGGCATTCTACCATTGAACCAAAGTTTCGCAGTAAGACTCCATGATCCAAGATTAATTTATTGCTTTAGCAAAGATATAAATGATTGTACAAAGTTTCAAGTTCATCTGAATGAATGAATTGAAAAAAAAAATCCACAAATTTGGTAATAGACGGTAGCACTACCACAAAAATTGATTGGTAGCTTCGGCCAGGAATGGAACCCGGGACCTCGATTGAGAAACGAGCATTCTACCATTGAACAACCAATGCAAGACTCTCATTAAACAAGAGTAATTCATTTACTAAGCAATATCAATGAATTAAAAGATTAACGTTTTCAAAATGAATGGAATTGAAATCAAAATCCACAAAATTTGGTAAGAATAGCATTACTAAAAAATAGATCAATTGCATCGGCCGGGAATCGAACCCGAGTCACTCATTGGGAAACGAGCATTCTACCATTGAACTACCGATGCGACGTGGGTCTCTCATTAAACAAGATTCATTTAGTTGTCAAGCAAAGATATGAATGAATGTACATAGTTTCAATTACTTCAAATGAAAGGAATTGAAAAAAAAAAGACATTGGGTAACAGTAGCACTGCCAAAAATTGATTGATGACTTAAGCTGGGAATTGAACGAACCCAGGTCAAATGATCAGAAAACTAGCATTGTACCATTGAACCACATTCACCAAGATGGCCGTATTATCGAAGATTAATTTTTTGCTTATGCAAAGATACATTGAATAATTAAAAAATATTCAAGTTCTTCATTATGAATGGAATTGAAATTGAAAATCCACAAAATTTTTGGTTACAGTAACACTACCCCAAAAAAAAATCCATGGATTATATGCGCTTTTCGGGAATCGAACCCGGGTCAAAACGAATGGGAAACGAGCATTCTACCATTGAACCACCGGTGCGCTGTAAGACTCTCATTAAACAAGAGTAATATAGTTACTAAGCAAAGATATCAATGAATATACAAAGATCCACGTTTTTCAAAATGAATGGAAATGAAATCAATACCGCATAAAATTTGGAAACAACAGCGTTACTACTAAAAGGGGTAAAAGTTTCTGTCGTCCGGGTTTCAAATCCGAGTCACTTGAACATAAAACGGGTATTCTACCATTGAACCAAAGTTTCGCAGTAAGGCTACATGATCCAAGCTTAATTTATTGCTTTAGCAAAGATATAAATAAATGTACAAATTATCAATTTCATCTGAATGAATTGAAAAAAAATCCACAAATTTGGAAATAGACGGTAGCACTACCACAAAAATTGATTGGTAGCTTCGGCCAGGAATGGAACCCGGGACTCTCTATTGAGAAACGAGCATTCTACCATTGAACAACCAATGCAACGAAAAGACTTCATTTACAAGGAATATCAATGAGTTAAAAAGTTTAACGTTCTTCAAAATGAACGGAATTGAAATTGAAAATCTACAAAATTTGGTAAGAAAAGCATTACTCCAAAAATAGATCAATTGCATCGGCCGGGAATCGAACCCGAGTCACTCAATTGGGAAACGAGCATTCTACCATTGAACTACCGATGCGACGTGGGTCTCTCATTAAACAAGATTCATTTAGTTGTCAAGCAAAGATATGAATGAATGTACAAAGTTTCAATTACTTCAGAATGAAAGGAATTGAAAAAAAAAAAAAAATCCACACATTTGGTAACAGTAGCACTGCCAAAAAATTGATTGATGACTTAAGCTGGGAATCGA